TCCACCTGTTTTCAGCCTCCCAAACATGGGGATTATAGGTGCGTGCCACCACGCCTGGACTCTATGGCCAGCTCAGTGGGCCCTGGGGGTGGGGCTAGGGCCGGGCCTGCATTGCACTCTGGGGATCTAACCCCAGTCCCTGCATCTGCCTAAGCAGGCGCTTTAAGCCACTGACCTATCTGGCTGGCCCCAGGAACTTTTTTTGATACAGAAATATTTTTATTGTATAAATTTATATGACAAGGGTCAGGGAGATAGCTCAGTAGAATAAGCGTCTGGCAAGTGCAAGGGCCTGAGTTCAATTCCCAGTTCCGCCAAAAACAAAAAAACAAATTCCCTTTTCTGTATAAATTTATATGACAAAAGATCCTAAGATGTACTTGCCAAGCATCCGAATGTTGATGTCCAGTGAAATATTGCTACTTAATTATTTTCATCTCCCCAAATTTTTGAATTTGTGTATGTGATTTGCAGGGCTTTTTCATCAAGGATAACAATGTCAGCATCACTGGAAAACTTTTATGGGTTCATTTGTAATTCATAGATTTTTTCTCTAATGAGAGATTTTAGGGAAGAGTTAACTATATCATTTATTTCTCCTCATAAATTTCATTTGTGAAGTTTATCCTCTGTAGTGTTAAATGCTGACTGAAAATTTCCCATAAAAGAAATGTATTCATTTGAACTTTTAAGGTTTGGTGGTGGGATAAGGTTTACTTTATGTGACATATTTCATGTCATGGTTTAGAAGTACCTTTGAAAATACTTTTGTTCCATTTATTGAGCATTGAAAGTGCTAGTAATTTTTAAGATACGATATTGATTCTTCCTCCATTTTTTTAATAGCCGAGTTTAAAGGGAGCATTTCTAAATATGGTAATTGGTTAAATATCTTTTTTCCTCCTGGGTTTCTTTTTAGGAACTACTGACAATCAAAAACCTATAGCCGACTTTGGGATCTGGCTTTATTACTCAGCAACTAAAAGATGAGTTCTAATTGGCAGACTTCTGGCACTGGCACTTGTCCTCCTGTTTCTATAGAAACTGGGTTGGAGGTCAGAGCTGCACAAAGGGAAAGGGTAAGTTTCTTTTAATTCCATATTTCTAAACCCCTATCTTATTAACTGTGGCATGGTGTCAGTTTCCACATATAAATGCATCAGTGAACTAGAGCTCAGATGAACAGCTAATTTTCACTGGAGTGAAAACTGACATCAAGTCATTAAATATAATAGGGTTTAAATATGGATTTATTTTTCTTGTGACTCTGACTTCAAATGAACTCAATATAATTCTCACTTTTAGTTATTTTTAATTTGGAGGCCATAAAATTTTTTATCTTGGTTCTTTTTCTACTGTACATTTGTGATAAGTGAAAATTGGAATATAAAATATATGCAGAGGCTATCTTAACAGTCTGAATGGATTACAAGTTTCTGTGTAGCAGTAATTCTTATTTCCATTATGAAACAGGTACTATACAGGTACTATATATCAGTTATTTTAGCCTCTCCCCTCTTAGCCAAGCAGGATGAGTTTGGCTGTAAGGATACTTGCCTTTGAATTGTGCTGTGGTAGCATTTAGGCTTGAAATAATTTAAGGGCGGTATGCAAACTTCTCTGATTTACAAGTTGTTTTAACAACAACTTAAACTTTTTTTTTTTTTTTGGCAGAAGCCGGGATTGAACTCAGGCCCTTGCACTTGCCAGGCAAGCACTTATTCAACTGAGCTATCTCTCCAGTCCCAACAACTTAAACTCTTACTGGCTTTTTTTTTTTTTTTGGTGCCCAAGATCAAACTCAGGACTTTGTGCTTGGGAGTCAGGCACCTATGCCACTGTTCCTGGCTTTGAGATACTAGAAGAAAGACTTTTTAGTTCTTGCTTTTTAAAAGCCACTTATCTTTTATTTTGGTCCTGATTTACTGTTCTTAAAAGACTAAAATTCTCACTGGGTGTGGTGGCTCAGGCCTGTAATTGCAGCACTCATGAGGCTGAGGCAGGCGGATTGCTATAAGTTTGAAGCCAGCCTAGGCTACATAGTGAGTTCAGGGGTAGCCTAAACAGTACAGCGAGACCCTGTCTCAGAAAGACCAAACTAAAACCACAACAGAAGTAAAAGGCTTCCCTGGGTCTGCTGTGCTGGCCCTGCCCCAGGGTACACTGAGGTGGCAATTGAGACTGGCTGAGGTGGCACTGGCCTGTAATCCGAGCTCTTGGGAGGCTGTAAACAGGTGGATCAATAGTCCAATCTAGTAGTGAGACCCTGAACACCCTGTAGACCCTTCCCTAAAAATACAAAAAAGAAGGCTAAAATTCTCTTTTCCCTCCTAAAAGAACATTAGTTGCTTAACACAGACCAAAGAATGGGACATCTTGACTGTATTTCCTCTTCAGTATTATTTGTAAAGTAGCATAAAAAGTAAAAACTGGGTATTTGTCAGTGCAAGAAGTCAACTCGTTTTTAAAAATTTTACTTTATATACTTTAAGTCTGAAATAGGTCCTCATTAAAAATGTTCTGTGCCTTCCTTGTTTCTGTTGTGCTAGCCAGGGTCTTGCATAGGGTTAAAAATAAGGCTTTTTGTTTTTCTTTTGTGCTGTCTGCTATCAAGTATCCAGACATGTTCTCTGCTTCTTGAGAGTAGATGACCTGTCCTAGTTTTACAAGCCAAAGTCCTAGATCTCAGGAGCTCCTTCCTTACTAGCCAGAACCAGGTAGTTGGTCACCCTAATCTTAGTTTATTCTCTAAGTTGTTACTGATCATTTTGGATTAAAGGAGATTTCATAGTGTACTAGCTTCTGTTGGAATGTACTGGGGATTAGGTTCTTTTTAAGAAATGATTTGTCCAGTTTGTTCCAGTGGTCCTAGGTAATGTCAGCTTATTGCTCATAGAAATAAAATCTGATGAATTTTGTACTGGTTTTAGAAGCTGATTCTGAGCACTTTTAATACTGTGTACTACTGATCAGTATATTTTAGCCTCTCCCCTCCTAGCCAAGCAGGATGAGTTCGGCTGTTGGGGTGCTTATATTTGTTGTCATTGAGGCAGACACCCATTATTTGTAGAACCTAAGACACCTGATACATTTATTTGTCTTCCTTTTGACATAGAAAATGAAAGAAAAAAAGTATTCTATTCTGTGTGAACGATATTTTGTCTGATATAAGCAAATTTTCACATATTTTTGTATTTGCCTGATACAAGCATATATTCCATAATATCTGTGGAGTACTTAGGTAATAATATCCTCATTTTACAGAGGAGGAAGCTGGGGACCAAAGAAGTTGAGTAACTTGTGTGAGATCATATGATAATGAGTGGCAGAGCTAAGATTTATTACTCATTAGCTTTTTTTGATGTTTGTATGAGGGGTAGTAGTTTTTTTATCCATATTATCTTAGAAGTAAAATGTGAAAAACATTTAAAATTAAATAAAACTACCAGTTATCTTTGAGATAATAGCTTTCGACCCAGCTTAATTTGGTGTTAAAGCTTATAGCCATGGAGAGTACAAAAATAAATTAAATATCACCTTGTTGACAGGATTGACATGTGAGATCATAGAGTTCTCTGTTTAAAAGTTAGGTGGGTTAGATGGGATTCCAGAACCTGGGGAAGGTTTTCCAAAGGATTGAACTTTTGAGTCAGATTGTAAATGATTAAGCAAGAGTGTGTCTGATAGAAAAAGGCAAGTCAGTGGGACTGGAGCAGGTGGCAATGCATGGACAGAGGTGCTCATGGTGAGAAGGGAACGTTTCATATTCTTGAGTTAAAATGAGGATTTCAGTTTAGGATTTTTTTCAGTAGGGAATCAGTAGATGTTCAAAGGCTGAAAGAAATGGATTGTTTAAGAAATATTCTGAAGGAGTTTTTAAGGTAGGTTGTGTTAGAGAAACTTTTTTTTCCTCAGAAAGATCACCCAAATAATGAAGGGATTTCTATTCACATGTTCCTGCTTATTCTAAGTGACATTATTAATTAGTTAGCACAATTATCTTATGCATAGTAAACACCTGTTAATTTAAATATATTTCCCATTAAAACCACCTCTTGGGCCGGGGACATAGCTCAGCGGTCTAAAGCACCTGCTTAGGCAAGCTGAGGCAAGCGCAGGCACTGTGGTTCAATCCCCAGCACCACATGCCACACCAGCCCCACCCCCAGGGCGGGCTGAGCCAGACACGCACACACACAAAATAAATAAACCCACCTATCAACTTTTATATGAAACTTATAGTTCTTAAGAAACCTCTAGATGTTTAACATAAATATTTTTGATACTCAAATGTAGTAAAAAAGTAATGTTGTTTACATGGAACAACAGTAATAGTGTTTAGGTGTGCCATTAAGATGTTAAGGATTTTATGGGATTGTTTTGAACAATTCTTTATTTTTGTTTCATAACAGTACATGTTTATCGTAGAAATTTAGAAACAAAGTAATGAAAAATTTAGTTCTGATCAGTAAACAAGATGAACTTTTGGGGAGGTGTATACCATACCAATCACTAAGTAAAGTGTGAGTATTCATTTTTATTTATTTTTGGTGCTGGGAATCCAACACACAACCTCACACTTACCAGGCAGGTGCTGTGCCACTGAGCTATATCCCTGGCCCCTGAGTATTCGTTTAGATTCCAAAGTTTTAATCAACCAATAGCTATATTTAATATTTCTATGAGTTAAAAAATTTCTTCAATTTAGTGATTAAATTATGTAGGCACAATAGAGAGTTTAGATTAATTTATTATATAAACAAGAATTCTTGGCTGGCCAGTTAGCTCAGCAGGTTAAAGTGCCTGCTTGTAGGTAGACGCAGGGTTGCAGGTTCTATCCCTAGCCTGTGGTGCCAGCCGTACCCCCGGGGCAGGCTGAGATGGTGAATGAGACTGAGTGTGGTGGCGCGTGCCTATAATCCCAGTGCTTAGGAGGCTGAAAAACAGGATCATTGCGAGCCTAATCTATGTAGTGAGACCCTGTAGGCCTTGTACTAAATGCATTAAAAATAATAATTATTTTCTTTCCAAGCTTTTATTTCCACAAAGTTACTAATTTAGATTTTCTTTGTTAAGCTTTCACTTGATTGTAGTCCTCCTTTCTTCTGGAAACTGTTTGCTTTTCCATCTCTCAGCCAGTGGTACAAAGAAAAAGGAAAGTGAAGAGAGGAGGTAGCATGTTCCAGAGAAGTAGAAAGAGCCGGTGTATGTCTCTGTATAATCATATAACCAGCCTGGAAGGAAGGACAGATTTCTGTTAGTGGAGCAAATCTTCCCATTAGTAATTCTCAGCCAGTAACTGTACCTTAAAGGAAGGGACCCCCGATCTTATTGTTACTGATCTGTATTGTGACCCATTAGAAACTTAAGCTTTTTTCTTGATAAAATTGAATAGTTTCATCTAAGACAGTTGTAAAAAATTATTGTGACTCAGAATTCATTTGCTTTCATCTAATAATGGATGTTACAGAAAAAAAATATTTTTTCATTTCATGCTGAATCTTACTTGAAAACTACAGTTCTGACAAAGAAAATAATCCTGAATTTTACTGTTGCCAAAGGGAAAAAGATCCAGTTACCCTTTTACCTTACTAAGCAAACATCTGAGTACTTACCATGTTCCAGGCAATATGCTGTTATGATAGTGTTAAGCCAAAACAGGCATGGTTCCTGCCTTATGGAGCTTAGTTTAATGGAAGGCAAGTATTAACCATGTGAAGTACATATGTGTGGGGTGCCTTGAAGAGAATACTCGGAGGTCATGAGATCATATGAGAAGAAAAGGCTTGATGAAGCGGGTTAAACAAATTGTTCCTCAAATCAAAGCACTTTTTTTTTTTTGGCAGTACTAAGGATTAAACAAGGCCTTCCAATGATAAGCAAGTATTCTATCACTGAATTACATTCCCAGCTAAATGTTTTTTTAAAGGAGGAATTAAAGAGGGCTTAAAATTTTTTGGCTAGGGCCAGGGAGATAGCTCAGTGGCTTAAGCGCCTGCCTGGCAAGGGCAAGGTCCTGAGTTCAATCCCTGGTACCAAAGAAAAGAAAAAAAGAAAAACTTTTGGCTAATGGTACAGATAGAATTTATGTGACTTATGTGAACTCCCTGCATATACACAGTGGGGATTCAGCCTAATGCCTTTGCACTGAGCTACATTCCTAGCCCTTGTTTTATTTTTATTTTTCAGTAGTGTCACTAAGTTGTCTAGGCTGGACTTGAACTTGGGATCTTCCTTCCTTAGTCTCCCAGAATACTGGGATTATAGGCGTATGCCACAATGCCCACGTGCAGCTTTTTGGGTTTCTTTTAAACTATGATAATGGCCAGAAATACTTGCCAAGGCCCCAGCACTAAATGTTGCTGTAAAAGTTGACAGTCCAAAAGTACCTTCGTATTACAGTTTTGGTCTCCTGTACTCCGTTAAAGGCCTTTCCTTTGGAAGTCCACTTAACTTACTTTGAGAAGTTCCATTTTTAAAATATTGCATGAATATTATATTTGGTTACCTGTTCAAAAAAATTCAGTAGCTGGATCTAGCATTGCACTTTTGTAATCTCAACTATGTGGGAGACTTAGGAGGATTCAGGTTCCAAGTCCAGCTGAGCAACTTAGTGAGATCTTGACCCCAAAAATAAAAAAGACTGAGGATGTAATTCAGCAGGAAGCCCTGTGTTCAACCCCCCAATTACACCCTCAGTCTGGAGGCAGGGGGAATTAGTGTTGTAGACCAGCACATTTCAAGTTCTGAGGATACACCTCTGAACAGATGGATGCTGGAGTACCTGCCTTTGTGGAACTTTATGCCTTTTTATTTTCCTTAGATCATAGTGATTTAGTATACACATAGCTTATTTCCTCCTGCCATCCCATTTGGTATAGCTATATATCTTTCCTGGCTTGTTGTCTTGCTTGGTTCTGGTATAGACTTTCAACTTTTAAAAACATTTGTTTGTAGTTTGGGATATCTAGTTGTTATTCTGCATGTGCGTTCAATGGGGATTAAATCCAAAATGTCACTCACATTAAGCACATATTCTACCACTAAGCTACACTCTCAGCCCCTTTTTATTATTTCAATAAATAACATTATAGGGGCGGGGGAGATGGCTCAGTAGAATAAGTGCTTGCCTGGCAAGCACAAGAGCCTGAGTTCAATCCCCGGTTCCGAAAATAAATAAATAAATAAATAAATAAATAAATAACATTATGGTTCCTGGGTTTTTTTTTTTTTTTTTGCGGAACCGGGGATTGAACTCAGATCCTTGCATTTGCCAGTCAAGCGCTTATCTTACTGAGCCACCTCCCCGGCCCCATGTTTCCTGTTCTTAATGAAATAAATACATGAATGGAATGCTTTAGTAGAATAAGTGCTTGCCTAGCAAGCATAAGGGCCTGAGTTCAGTCTCTAGTTTTGCCAAAAAAAAAAAAGGAATTCTGCATGGTCTCTTGAATTAAAATAAGTTGCTTTTTGCTTATTGATTCCTGTTTGATCAGTAACCTCCAAAGAACGTAGTGAAAGCAGCTAGGACAAGTTTTTGTATTGTGTCAATTATGATTGAACTATTGCTTGCTAAGAAATGGGACCAGCCTGAATTCCCCCAGCAATTTCAGGAAAGGTGAGGGAGAAAAGGAGCATTCTCGCCATGGTCCCATGAGCGCAACAGATTTACTGTGAACTGGAAGGTAGGGGCAAGAGAAATGTCAGGTGGACAACACTGAAAATTAGTTGAACAGAAAACTTGTTATAACCTTTTCGTGATACAGACACACAATCTTAAAAAGAGAATATTTTGAAACATTAAATTTAATCTCAGTGTTTTAATTTGTATTTCTTCAATGGCCAATGTTGAACATTTTTTCATAGCTCTATTTGCCATTTTTATTTCTTTATCTGAGAAGTATGTGTTCATCTTAGATGCCCATGTTTGGATTGGATCTTTAAATTTCGGGTGTCTGATTTTTTTCAATTTATATGTTCTAGATATAAGACCTTGTCTGAGGGACAGTTAGTTAAAAGGTTTTTGTACTCTGAGTTGTCTTTTTACTCTATTAGTGATTTCTTTTGAGGTTCAAAAACTTTTTAAATAGGGTGAGATCCCAGTTGTTTGTTTTTTTTTCTTTTTCTTTTTTTTCCAGTTGTTTCTTTAAAAGTGTTTCTCATGTAGTTTGGGTTTTGTCCTTGAATTCTGCCTATCCCTATGTCTTCAAGATATCTACCTACTTTCTCTTCCAGTAATTTTAGTGTTTGTCTTAATATTTATATATTTGATCCATTTTGACTTAAGAAATCAACCAATAACAAATTCTGGAGGGGCTGTGGGGAAAACGGAACCCTTCTCCACTGTTGGTGGCAATACAGACTGGTGCAACCACTTTGGAAATCAGTCTGGAGATTCCTTTAAAAAACTAGGATTAAAGGTTCCATTTAACCGAGCTCTCCCTTTTCTGAGTATTTTTCCAGAAAAATTAAAAACATACAACAGCAACATATGTGCAGTCGTATTTATAGCAGCACAATTTGTAATAGTCAAATCTTGGAAACAGCCTAAATGCCCATCAGCCAAGGATGAAAAAGATGTGGTATTTTTATACAGTGGAGTACTACTCAGCTATAAGAAGGATAACCTTAGACATTAGTAGGGAAGTGGAAGCAACTTGAGTCCATACTTACAAGTGAAATAAACCAGTTTTGCATTTACAAACATTGTATTGTCTCCCTAGTGTAAGAAGCTTAAAGAATAAGATCCAAAATGTACAATAGATACTGTGAAATGAGACAAAAATGGCTAAAAGGAAAGAGAAGGTGGAATCAGGGAAAGGAGGGGAGAAATACGTACACGCACACACACACACACACGATAGTTACAATATACTACTAATTGCTGTCAGCTCATTGAAAGGATAGGTATATTCCTATATTGCTACATCAGTTTTTCATGCCAATATCTTATATTATGAGCAGCTACTTTGAAGATAAAATGAACAATGTACTGAATGTTGTAACTCTCCAATCTTTTGCAATTTTATACCATTATTTTTAATATTTTTCTTCTCTTTAAAAAAATTTAAAGTTGGCATAGTGGCACATGGCACATGCTTGTAATCCCAGAATGTGGGAGGCCGGATTAGGAGGTTTCAGAGTTCAAGACCCCTTGAACTAGACCATTTAGAGAAGTGTGATCTCAAAACAAATAGATGTGCATATTTAATACATATTCTTCTTCTTTTTTTAAATACATATTCTTAAGGGCCAGCCAAATAGCTCAGTGGATTAAAGTGCCTGCAAGCAGGTGCAGGGGTCAGGGGTTTGTTCCCCGGGCCTGCTGTGCCAGCCCGCCCCTGGGGCAAACTGAGACAGCAGTTGAGACTGGGCGTGGTGATGCACCTTTAGTAGTAGTGAGACCCTGAACACCCTGTAGACCTTTCCCTAAAAATACAAAAAAACCCAACATACTGTTTTCAGGATGAGGAAACAGAGTGTATTTTATACTTGTTTTCATTTTTCATGTATAATTGAATGAAACAAGTTGTTTTGATCTTGTTTCTCCCTTTCATACTTGGTAATTAGGGTATTAGTATTTTCAAAAATTATTTAATTTGGTACAGGGTCTCACTATGCAGCTCGTAGTGAGAGTGATCGTAGTGATCCTCGTAGTGATCCTAGACTGGTAGTGATCCTCCTGTCTCAGCCTCACTAGTGCTGGGATTACAGGTGTATGCCACTACGCCTGGTTTCAGTGGCTGGCATGGCACACCCAGGGTTCCAGAGCTGGCACAACATGTGGTGCTGGAGATCGAAGTCGAGATCTTGCGTGTGCCACGCAGGTGCTTAGACTGCTGAGCTCTATCTCCTCAGCCTTATGGGTATTAGTATTTTTAAACTAATAGTTAAGATCCACTTGTTATTGCATAGGAAAATAATGTGCTAATGGGTAGTTTTACAGGGCTATGTATAGTAGCAAATATGAGATGAAATTTTGTGCAGAATTATGTCATGTTATTGATAATCTTATGGAAGCATAGGTTGAGTATCCTTAATTCAGAAATCTGAAATGCTTCAAAATCTGAAATTTTTTGAGCACTCATACAATGCCATGAATGCAAAAATCTCTTTTATGGAACTTTTGTTTCATGCCAAAATTAAAAATATATATTATATAAAGTTATCTTCAAGCTATGTAGAAGGTATACATAAAGTATAAGTATAAATGTTTAAACTGAGGTTGCTGCCA